CTTGAAAAACACAATTATACAAACTTAAACCCTTATGAACTTATTTTAAAATTTTCTTAGATAGTTCAGAAGTTAGAGGGAATGTGCTATATATAGGTTCATGAAACAAATCCCAAAAACCAAGAAAATTCAAGCAAAAAGATAAAAAAAACTCGAAAATCATGCAAGCTAAAAACTAGCCGTTACAGTGCCATCAGTCAACTGATACTGTTCATCAGTCGACTGATGAGCTGACCGTTAACAGGCCGCTCAGCTGTTATCGGTCGACTGATAAACTCATCAGTTGACTGATAACATATATCGGTCGACTAATGGTTCATCAGTCGACTGAGCAAAAACTAATTGCACATTCAAACACGTTTCATCGGTCGACTGATAACAAACATCAGTCGACTGATAACGTGCACATGGGTGTTTTGAATAGTAAAAATAAACTTTGAACTCTCTTTAAAAATATCAAATAAATTCCAAAAAATATAAAATTTGGGAAAATGTTTATAAACATGAAAATGAACATGTTATAAAAGGAATTTTTGAAATATCATTTCTTATTTGTGAAATCTCTTTGTTTTGCAAAAATTCACAAATACGTGTATATATAAAACGCTAGATTTTTGAATTTTGACTTAAAACAAATTATGAAACCTTTTTAATTGATTTATAGACTTAATAAAATATGTATACAAAAATTATTTTGTCCATAAATCAATAACACAATATTTGCTTAAGAATACTCAATTTGATAAAAACGAAGAATGCGTGTGTATGTATTTGAGCTTTAAGTATAACACACAAAGTATAAACACCTAAACTAAATATACCAAGTAATGGATTTTCAATTAGGTTCGACTTGGTTGTGGATGAAACTTGATCTTGTACTTGACTTGAATTCATTCATCGCTTCCTTTCGATATCTTTCCAACCTCCTTTGAATGTCATCGTTAAGCTCAATTCCATTCAACCTCCATCTGAGGATCCTTGTGTAGAATACCTAACGAGCAACTACAAATACTTGACGAACATCATTAGGAATTATTTGTTAATCATCAAAACTAGATTAGATAGTAGGCTCATAAACATGAGACCTAACACATTTTCCGTATGGTCGGTTCGACTTTCGAGGTCGATCTCAGCCGTCTGTTCTCAATCGAGTCGGCCGCTCTGATCTTGACATGTATCCGTACTCTTAGCTTATATATATCCCATTTTTGAGAACTAATATTTAAAAACTCTCTGCACTTTGATCTTTGAAACCCTAGCTTTCTGCATCAAGTGATTTCTAATAAAGATTCTGATGAACTATGATGGCTTCCTCTGCCTCCACTTCCGGCCGCAATGAGATGAGGATCGACCTCCTCTGTTGGCTCGAAGGTCTATGCAATGGAGCTCGAAGCTTATTACAATCACTTCGATCTCCCTAAAGCTTTCACTCTGTCAACACCAGAGAGGTCAAAAGTTGTATATCACCATGGCGGTAATAGGGCCCTAATTTATCTGAAGCATTTGGAGTACGGGCTCTGACTACCGCTTCACCCCTTCATCTGTTAAGTCCATGAGACCCTGGGAGTATCTCCTTCACAGATCAAGCAGAACTCTATCACTACTTTATTGGCGTATATGGTAATCAAACACCGAGGTGGCACCAAGCCAAGTCTACGCACGTTGGGCCATTTGTTAGTGTCAAGATGACTAAGAAGGAAGGGCATTATTACTTCCAAAACTTGGGCGGCTTCAAGCTCATCCTGAACGCTCCT